TCATCATACTGGGTGGTTCCATTTTGTCTTTGGATCCACAGCACCTGGTATGGTGCCTGGCATAAGTGCTAAATAAATACTTGTTGATTACTAGGTTGATTCTGAAATTTACTCCCATTATATCTTATGTCAGTAAGATGTTTGCTTACCAATCCAGTGAAGTCATATTGGTTTATTAAACATGCTTTTACATCCTATTAAAATATGGAATTATTCAACATCAATTTATTCAACTTTCTCTGATCAAACTCATTACATATGTCAAAAGAGTCTCAATTTCATTTGCTGATTTTCCTTACAAGCAAACATTTGGTCACAGTAATTAATATAGACTCATTTTCTTTCTAGTTCTGTAACATTTCCATATTCCACAAATACATCAGTTTCTTGCGAAGGATGAGATTTAGCACATTGGTACATTTATTGTTTCAGTTTTCTGGTTATTTTAAGAGAAAACGATTTGGTGACTGAAATGTCTCAGTTATAAGATTACAGATTTAGCACTAGAAGAGACCTTAAAGGTTTGGAGTCCAACCTCCTCATTTTAGATGGAGGCCCAGAAATATTAAGTGACTTGCCCTTTGTCTCACAGCTCATAAGTGTCTGAGTCAGGATTTGAAACTGGATCTTCCTGACTTCAAATTCAGCACTCCATCCACTATACCATACTGCATCTCAAAATTCATAAACCCCCAGGGAAATATAGTACTTGACTGTGGAGCATTTCTTCAGGATAATTTTATTCCAGTGACTGACAATCAGTTTCTTCAGGTCTTCTACTATGTCATCAATATTGACCTGTACGTATATTTTCCTCTGTGACAGAGATATTCCTCTAAATGTATACTCATTTCAGCTCTGTCCTTGCTAAAAAAAAAAAAAAAGTCCCTTCCTCAAAATCTTAACCTAAAGACTCAGAAGTCAAAGGCTTTCTTTTCATAATTTTCTTGGATTGCTTTTATTTTTTTTCTAATTTTTCCTCATTTTTCCTCATTTCCTCATATTTGATTTTTTAATTCCTAATTTGATGAGGGGATTCTACAGAAAACAAAATTGGGCAGGAAAAGGTAAAAAGAAGCAACTGTCTCATAAAAACAGGGCATGAAACAAAGAACTAACACAGAGAAAACAGGTTGGGGTGGAGGGCTGATAATGTTGGTACCTTATTCTCATCTGGGTTGAAGAGGAAATAAAGCATATATCTCAAGAGATTTAGAAGTCTTCTGAACTTCTAGAGAGGTGAGAAAACTGGGGGATAGGGTGGGGAAGGGACTTTTAAAAGAGTGTATAGCATAAGACTAGGAGGGAGAAGATAAGGGAGGAAATTTTAAAGGGGTGGGTAAAATAAGGAACAAAAGAATAAGGAGAAAAGATAAGGTAACAGGGATAGGGTAAAAAGAGAGGCTGAGAACAAGGAAGGAAATTCACAAATAGTAATTATAACTTTGAATGTGAGTGGGATAAACTCACCCATTAAATGGAAACAGATAGCAGAATGGATTAAAAATAAGAATTCAACAATATGTTTTAACAGAAACACACTTAATGATGAGAGATACAGAGTTAACAATAATATTGTTTTAAGAATGACTCTGAGCAAATAAGTTATTTTGATTATTACAAATACTCAAATTAACTATAAAGGACACATGAAGAAAATCGCTATCTGCATCCATAGAAAGAACTGATGAATAGAAGTATGTATAGAATAATTGTATACACACATACACACACACATACATACATATATACCTACACACACACATATATACATACACACATAAATATATACATGTATATATACATACATATGCATGTATATATATCTACACATAGATACACATATATATATATTTATATACTCTTTTTCTGTCTAATGGTAGCTATCTTCAGGGGGAAAGGGAAGAAGAAAAAAGAAATTTACATGATAATTCTGTTGTATATTTGAAAGGCATAACAAGTTGTACATAGTAGATTTGCAGTTTCACGTGCAATCATCTTTTTTTATTGTACTATGTTACAGAAGTGCTTGTTTTATTCCATAAATTAAAAATAAAATTTTTAAAAAGAAGTCAAAGGCCTATTTCTCATGAAATAGGAAGCCTCCAAGAATAGAGTTTGACTTTCCCAACCTGTTCCCTTGGTTAGGAAGTTGACTAAGATTACATTTGATTTCTCTTTCCTAAAAGATACAGCAGGAAGTTGCAGAGGTGGGGAACAGGATCTGAGAGAGGGAAGGAGCCTCAGCAATTGTTTGTGGGAAGCCTATGTGGTGCCCATGGGACAAGTGGAGAGAAAACTGGGTGGTCTTGATGACGTGACATGCCATCATGAGACAAAAGGTATGAAGACTGTAGCACATGGGAGAAGCCTAGACAGAGGTCCTTGGTTTAGCATGGCACCTGTGTCAAATATGACAGGAATAATGAAATAGAATAGAGAAGCTCTGGGAGTGTTCTTTGCCTCTGAAAGAAAACCTTGCTGATTATGACACTGTTGGCTGAAAGCTGTGTAAAAGGACAACCTGCAATTTGGTTGAGAAAGCTGCAGAAAATTAGGATTGACAACACTGTAAGGAATTAGAGAATTATAAGCAGAGTGACAAGCTACACTCAACAGGCAGCCCAAGGAGCCATCCATCAATCAATTAACAAGCATTCATTAACCATGGAGATGCGCACCATTTGAGATTTGGCCACAAGATCCTCCCCACATTTGCTGAGCCTCAGTCACATGCTTAGAAGGAAGTCACACTAGATGTGACTAGAAGCTCTGCCAAGTATCTATCTATAAGTGCCCGACTGCATACAGGCATGTGGCAAAAGGTTGTGCAGTATTGGGCACTGTTATTTTGGGGGAGTCCTAATATCAGCTTTCATTAGTTTTCATTGACCAGTAAATAAACAACTTCATTCTTTGAGTCTGGGAATACATGTATTTACAAGAGGAGCTTATGATGATTAAATGAGATATTTATAAAAAGTACTTAGCACAGTACTTAGCACATAGTAGGTAGTTAATAAATGCTTTTTAAGAAGGGTTGAGGATAACACACTATGCTGTTAGATAGGAGGAAACTAATCTATCCAGATTAGCTAGGAGCAGGAAACGAAACAGAGACAAGCCAAATCATAACCCAGACCTTTGTGACAAGTGAGAGGCACTGACCCATGACCCACATACTACAAATTTTAAAAAAAATTAATAACAAAAATTAGTAATTCTTCCAAGTTACACACACAGATATATTTTTTTTTACATAAACAGTACTTATTTTAGATAGATGAATGGATGGATGGATAGGGAGATAGATAATTGCACTTCTGTGGACAAACCTGTGGTCCTCCTGCTTCTAAGATCTGACTGGTAATAACACCTACTACCTTTTCACACAGAGGATGTGAATGAAGGAAAGAGATGAGACTGGACCTGTGATTTCATCATTAGAGAGAATTCCCTCTACTAATACAGGTGGGTACCTTCTCTGCAGCTTAGTGAGTTGCCTAGAAGAGAGATGTGAAACACCAGCCACATGAGGCCCACTATAGTCCTGAGGGTGGCCAGAACCAGATTAAAATGTAATTAGAAAATATATAACAAAATAAATAAAAATACAATAGAAGATAGATAATGTTAGTATGTGGTTTTCTAAGTCAATATGTGGCTTACAGGGATCTTTATGTACGGTTTGTTGTTACTGTGGTTGTTCAGTCAGGTCCAACTCTTTATGACCTCATTTGGTTTTTTGTTTGTTTGTTTGTTTGTTTGTTTTTGCAAAGATACTTGGAGTGATTTTCCATATCCTTCCCCACTGGATTAAGGCAAACAGAGTTTAAGTGACTTGCCCAGGGTCACACAGCCAGTGAGTATCTGAGGCTGGATCTGAACTCAGTCTTCCTGACTCCAGAGCCAGTGATCTATCCACTGAGCCACCTAGCTGCCTTCTATACATGTTTTAGTGGTCCTTGTTTCCACTAGAGTTTGACACCACCAGAGCACTGAGAGGTTATGCAGGTTCACACAACAAGTGTATGTCAGAGGTAAGACTTAAACCTAGGCCTTCTTGGATATGAGGCATATTTCTATCCATTATGCATCACTCACTGCTTTTCATGTGAATGAGAGGTAGATAAAGCTAGTTTTGTTTTGTTTTTTTCCAGTGGTACATACATTCTGTTACTGTTATGTTGTTACCTGAATTTCCTTAATCTATAATCAAATTTGTAACTTGAATGTGAAACTGCCAAAGAGAGTTCTGTATTCAGATTAACCTTAACAGCAGACAGATAAAAAATGAGATTTCTTTGGCTATTATCGAAGAGGCAACTTTGTATACTAGGGATTGTGCTGGTCATAGAGTCAGAAAGTCCAACGTTTGAATCTTGCCCCAGACACTTAATGGTTATATGTGATTCTGGGCAATCATTTAACCTCACTGGCTTCAAGTTTCCTTATTTATTTAATACGGAGGCTGGACTTCATGACCTGTAAGGGCTCCTCGAGCACTAAATCTGTATCATCTGGTGCTCTGTTAAAAAAACTGTCCATAAAAGTTTTTGTATTTGTTCTCTGTTAAATGTATAAGTAGTTGTATCAGCATTCATGGAGCACACATACTTTAGTAGTTAAAGCAGAACTGTGCTGTGTGCTATTGATGATTTAATTTCTATTGGCATATACTTCCTTGATGCACTGATTCCAGAATCAATTCACAAAGCAAACTGGATATTTTTTCCCCTTTGATTTAGCTAGCATTTTAAAAGCTCTTAAACCACACATTACATATTAAAATTTGCCAGAATTCAATCTGTGTGCCTTATAAAGGCAATGTGCATTTCCAGGCTATTATTGGGTACCTGGGGAAAAAAAACCCAGTAGTTTATAAAATACTTATGTCTTATTCAGTAAATCCATTTTCTGAAGAAAGACATATCAAACCTTACTTGGTAAGACATATATTTAAGCATAAGGGAAAAAAGGGTTGATCAAATTTCACTTACCCAATCTATTTTATCCACATTCCAATATTTTTTTAAATCCCGAAACTGTATTAGCATCCCTTTCAGTCCCACAACAATGATACTTGCAAGAACACACTACAAATTTTAAAAAAGTTAATAATAAAAATTAGTAATTCTTCCAAGTTACACACATACACATTTTTTTTAAATAAACAGTACTTATTTTAGATAGATGAATGGATGGATGGATAGGGAGATAGATAACCATTATATTGATGAAGCAGTTACTTAAAAGGATAAATCAATAATGAGCCTTTTCCTTCCATTTAGAAGTAACATATTAACCTTCTAGGGTGGGGAACCTGGGGCCTCAAAACCACATGGGGACCTCTAGGTCCCCTTACTAAAAGGATTTATTCTGTAAAACTTGGACTCAGTCAAAAGGCCATACCCAAGGACCTAGAAGGCCACATGTGGCCTTGAGGCTGCAGGTTTCCCACCCCTGTCCTAACCCAAGGAATTCATGATTAGTGTCATTCACTAAAATAACAGAGGTACTACATTACCAAGCTGAAGGTACATTAAGACATCCCCAACTCCTAATTATAAAGTACTTTTCAGGGGCTATATAAGCATAAAACTAAATAGAATATCTGCTCGATGCAAATGAAAAAGATAAATAATTGAAATAATGTACACAAGTGTATGAAGTTTTTCCCAGAAGATTTTTTGATAAACTAATGTGAAATATTTAACATTTTTTTACTCATACAGCCTAGCATTTCGTACTATTTTACTAAAAAGGCACTTAATACCCTCAACAGAAATTGTGATACTAATATTTACATCTCACAAATGAGAAAATTACAGCAACCTCTCCAGATCCCTGGATTGTACCAGGATTGCCATTTGCATCACTGAGATGTGTTAGTCTGTGCAGGGCAGTTTGAAAATTTGCCAACAAGGTTATAGGGTGTTATGTGTAAATATATTTCAAAGATGAAAAGAGATTATCCTGTTCCTTCTTTCAACCTCACTAGTCAAGATAATGAGGCTATTCATAAAGAGGTCTGCCAATACAGATTCTCATTTCAAAGAAAAAAAAAATCATACTATACCATGGGCAACCAGTAAAGCAATGGTCCTACTGCATAGATGATGATCAGGACCAAAATACAAGATATTAGGCAAGCCACCTGAAACACACAACAAAAGCACAGACATTTAAAAGAATTTTTCAGAATGGTTTTCAATAATTATAGCAAAACAAGGCATCACCAGCTTTATTGGATTAGAGGTTATCAGTAGTTTTTAGAATTGTTAGGCTCCTAGCGACCTGCCCGAGAGATAGTGTGGCATAGTTGGAAAGAGCACTAGACCTGGCACCTGGACAGTCCTCTATTCAGATTTCACTTCTGCCACTTCAAGAGCTATGGGACCATAAGCAAATCATTTGAACTCCCATTAGAATTCATTTTGTTTCTGGAAGAAAGAGTTCCTTTTCCTCCCCTACCTTCTCCTCTCCTCTCCTCTCTTCTCTTTTCTCTGTACTGCCTGCTTTTAGTACAGTACTTGACACAGAACATACTTAATAAATGCTTTTTGACTAATTGACTGGTATAGACTCAGTCTCCTTCCTTGTAAAATAGGGATGGTAACAGCTAGATGGAGCAGTGGATAGAGTGTTGGGCCTGGGGTCAGGAAGACTCTTCTTTCTGAATTCAAGTCCGGCCTCAGACACTTATTAGTTGAGTGATCCTGGGCAAGTCACTTCACCCTGTTTGTCTCAGTTTCTTCATCTATAAAATGAGGTGAAGAAGGAAATGGCAAACCACCCCAGTATCCTTGCCAAGGAAACCCCAAATAGGGTCATGAAATGTCAGGCACAACTGAAAACAACTAAACAAAAACAACAAAAATAGGGATAATAATTACTATAGTAATTCATTCACATAGTTGGTCCTAATCATAGAATCATAGATTTAGAGGCTAAAGGGACCCGAGAGGTCATCAAAGTCCAACAAGCTCATTTTTATGCATGAGGAAACTGAGACCCATTGAAGTTAAATTATTTGTCCAAGGTCAAAAGGCTGACAGGGCTGGGACTCAAACTCTGGTTCTCTGACTCTAAATCTACCATTCTTTCAAATTAGATATTGATTGTCAAGTGCTTGGCGAATCTTAAAAAGCTCTATAAATGTCAACTATTATCACATATGAAGAAAGTAAAATAGTTGGCAAACTGGAACACTCAGATAAAGTTGACACTGACAAAATGTAAGAGTTATGGAGCATCTTTCTGAAAGATAATGGGCAAAGATGACTAAGGAAGAGGAGACATAGAGAGACTGTGAGCATAATGGTGGAAAAAATACCTCAATAACGTCACAGATCCCTCTAAGTATCTTTTATATATGAAACTGACAAGATGATATATACAGATGAGGACAGTTTTGGAGCAGTGACTTTTGACAGTGAAAGATATTTAAGTAAATTTTCCAGAACCTTAGAAACCAAGGCCAGCCTTGGAGCCTTTGGCTTCCTCAGTAATCCAATTCAAACCAACTCAGTGACCATTTATTCACTATGAACAAGGCACTGTGCTAGATGTTGAGGAAAACAAAGAAAAGGAAACAGAATCAGGGGCCAAGTTGAAGCCATCTCAGCATGGCAATCCAATTCAGTTCAATAAACACCTATTAAGTAAATACCTGCTGCCTGCAGACACAGGTCTAGGTGCTGAGGTGAATATAAAGTTGAGATAAAACAGGGCTCCTGCTCTCAAGGTGTTTACAGTCTAGTAGCTCACTAAGCAACCTTTATAATCGATGGAACAAAATTCCTTTGATGGTGAGGGTGAAAAGAGTCTGCCCTGTCCTCCATACTCGGTCACTTTGTTGATACACATGCATATATACATATATATACATACATATGTATGTGTGTGTGTGTGTGTGTGTGTGTGTGTATATATATATATATATATATTCACACACACACATATATGCTATATTGGAGAAGTACCTGAACTATATATGTATGTATGTATATGTGTGTGTGCATAACACACATGAATATTTGGCCAAGATCTATGATAACCTATCTTTGGGAAGCTCCTGGTATAGAAACCCCCTCCACTCATGCAGAATGAATGTATGAATTAATAAAGAATTTATTAAGTATTTACTATATACAAAGCATGTGGTAAGCGCTGGGGATACAAAGAGAAAAGTAAGACAGTTCCTGTTCTCAAGGAGACAACATATGAGGAAATTTTCTACTGCAAATCAAATGGAAAGTCCCTTAGTTCTTAGAGTGCAATAGCAAAACAGGTGTCAAGGTCTCACTGAGAATGGTAAGTGGCTTGTTTGCCCTTGATCAGACAACTAGTATGTGTAAGAAGCAGACTCGGAAGCCAGTCCTTCCTGGCTCCAAGGCTGGCCTTCTGTCTACCCTGCTCTGCTGCCTCTCACTCCCTTGGATATGAAGGGGAAGATCAACCAGGCTAGAAATCCTAGGGAATGTTAGGTGACAAAGGGAAAGCACTCTACACTACTAAATCATCTCTATACTGAAATCATATGTGAAGAATTTATGTTTTTATGTTTTCATATGGTGTGAGTTTTTGCTTAGACCATAAATACAACAACCAATATATCATGAGAGTTCAGTGGCTGAGCGTACCAGTAGGGCTTATGCATTCCATTGGGACGACATGGTAAAAAACAAAAATTCAGGCCCAGGCTACTGGTGGGAAATCAATGTTTCTATGAGAACTGAAGCGCACACACATAAGTGTATTAGAACACATGCACATATATGCAACTTTCACTCAGGAAACACATCAGATGAATTTGAACCCCATAAAATGTGAGAGCTGCAAGATATTAGAGTCAATCTAAGTCAACTCCCTTAAATGGCAGAGGAGAAACTGATGCTCAGACTGGTTAAGTGACCCGTCCAAAATCACATAGCTAGTAAATAGTCAAGTTCAAATACTCTGCCTCCAAAATAATCCATCACTGACATTGTATTCATAGGCTGAATAACATTAAAATAGAACCACAATGAATAATGTAACCTATCAATATAAAAAAATAACCTATCTCTAATTAACATATTGCCTTGTTCAGAACATAAAGTCCAAGACATGTGGATCTACACTAAGTTTAAAAGACTATAAGAGGGAAGTGAAAATTGTTTCTATGGAAAAGGTAACTGAACCTATGTTCAAGCGATCACTTTACCAGTGGCTTGATCAACTCTGAGATGGTATAAAGGAATAAGCATTGAATTGGGGGTTAAAAAACCTAAGTTGAACTACCAGTTCTGCTGCAGAACTTATTATGGATTCTTAGGTAAGTCATTGATCCTCCATGAGTCTGAATAAAATAGAGATGATAATGCTTGAACTGCTTCCTTCAGAGTGTCTTTTGTGATGAATTAAGACATAAAATACTTTCAAAATCACAAATGCAATATAAATGTTAGCTATTATTACAAGACTCCAAATGAGCTGGACCATGGGAGCAAACAATTTGAGTTAGCAAGTTTAATCCTGCCACAAACTCACCAGCCTAACCGTCCTTTGCTCTTGGCCCCAATATTGTGACATCAGTATTTCTATGTTGCCAAAAGCTTCTTAGAGGTCTTGCCCTGTGCAGCTACTTCCAAGTCATAGAAAACCCTTCATAATATCATGTCCTTGCCTCTTAAAGTTTCATGCTTCTTTGTTCCAATTCACTCTCCTATAAAGCGGGGGAACCTAATAAATAAAAGGACTGACCCCCTTCCAAAGATCATAGAATTTGGGGACTTGAAGAAAGCTTGGTGATTATATATTTCAACCTGCTCACTTTACAAGGGTGATCAACCTAAAAATTGTAGGAGGAAGTGAGTTCATTTCAGTAGACATAATTCATTTATAAAGGACCTACTGTCTCAAATATACTGCCCCAAGAGCTAGAGATACAAAATCAGAAGTGAAAATAATGTCAGCCCTCAAGTAGGTGAATTGAGCATAGATGGAAGATGTATGTAAAGTTTATATCAGCTTCATTTATAAGAACTATTCATTTGCTGAAAAGTAATATCAGTTAGTCAACTTGTTGATTATTTTCTCCTATGGTTCTTGTCCATACAGGGAAAGTCATAATGGCAGCAGAGAATGACATAGAGTCAGGGCATGGGAAAGAGGCCATGCAATCTGGTTTCTTATTTTTTCTCCAGAGATAGAAATACCAGCCAAATGGTTCATGCATTACAAAGCAAATGGAGATTATATTATTTTGAAAATAATAAAGAGTAAGGGTCCTTTTTGAAATTTTCTTACAGAACCAAAATTCCCAGCTATCTCATCATCCTTCACCACTTTTAATATGTCATATAATTATGATAATATAGAGAGCATTAAGGTTTGCCAAGTGCTTTGAAAGAACGATGTGAGGTTGGTATTATCATTATTCTCATTTTATAGATGAGGAAACCAAGGTTCAGTGATGTTAAGTCTCTTGCCCAGGATTGAACAATTAGTATATGTCTGAAGAAAGTCTGAACTGGTGACTTTCTGACTCCAAGTCCAGCACTCTGACCCTTTTACCATGTTGCTTTACAGACAATAGCCAACAGAATTTTTTTTTCCTAAGTCAGGTTGTCTGAGTGATTTTGGGCAAGTGACACAGTCTCCAGATGTCAGTTTTCTCATCTATAAAACAAGGGGGTTGAATTAGATGACCTTTGAGGTCACTTCCAGGTCTAGATCTTTGATCCTACGATCAAACCTGTTAATTTTCAAGGATTAGTCTCACATAACTGATCACAAAATAGTTCACGCTTTCCTCTTGTTAAACACTGGGAAGTATACTTATTAGACACAGTTGTCCTTGGTTTTTGATGAGGACAGAGATGAGGATATTATTATTATTATTATTATTATTATTATTATCTAAAGATATAAGGCATCAGAGAAGACTGATGTGTCCTATCCCAACTGGCCTCATTAGAGAGCCGGGTCTGTCAAATGAGGAGCTCAACTGATCTTCACAGTCTCAGGGTGTGTACAATGAGTGGCAGAAGTTTGACGAACTACTCTAGAGTGGAATACCAGAATCCCAGAGTGGGGCCTAAAGGCTATCTGCTCCAACCTCCTCATTTACAGGTGGGGAATGGATGGTCCTGAAAAACTGCTACACCTGCTTGACCAAGAACCCCTTTACCAGTCAAGTGGTCATTATTACTAATTGACATAAGTTGTATAGATTCAAAGATCAACCCTCGACCTTATATAGGTAAAAGAAGCTTGCCCATTAGGCCAGTATATAGTCTGTCCAGGAGGCAATAACTGAACCCATGGAGGGCTTAAGTCAGGGCTTAAGTCCAGACATAAAGTCATAGGTCAACAACAGTAGAATAGAAAGAAAAGAATCAAAAGTCGGGCTGAATTTGACAGCCTAGGGCACTATGCTTCAGTTAACTCCTGGCCACCCAACCTTCCCATTTGTGTTGCCAGGTATGATAACAACCACACATCATCATTTTGCTTGATGAGCTCTTGCTGAAGCCTTCTCTGATCCCTCTTTATTCCAGTGCTTTCCTGCTTTTAATTATTTCCAATTTATCTTGTACATAACTTGCTTTGTGTATATTTGTTTGCAAGTTGTCTCCCCTATTAGATTATAAGTTCCCTGAGGGCAGGGATCATCTTTTGCTTCTTTTTGTATCTCCAGTGCTGAGTATGGTGCCTGGCACCATAGTAGCACATAGTAGCTGTTTAGTAAATGTTGATTGATTGATTGATTGATTGAAGACGTGTATTCATGTCAAGGCACCTGGGTAAAGTGATCATTTTTGGTACTTTAGGCTCACATCTAAATAGCTTCATATTTTCTAGGGCTTTTTGACTACAAGTACTTTTGGCCTTTAGAAAGATAATGCCTTTTTAGGGATTGTTATCATATTTATGTCACATAGAAAAGTGGTTCCATCTGAAATAGCATCTCTTAAATAGGATCTTTAAGATTTGGCTTGTGTCTCCCAAACCATGTGAGCTATCAGGATACCCATATAATCTTAATAGCTATGTGATGTTAAAAGGTCTGAAATGACTACCATGGGAAAGCATGCGAGATCTGGGTATGGACACAGATTTGGATTCTTTCTCCATGTGACTGGATGGGAACTGTCATAGATTATAGGTCATCTCAGCAAGCTACATAGAATGGAAATGCAGCTTATTATCAGATGTTGTTTTATGCTAGAATAGTATTTTTTCCAGGTTTTCTTACTACTTCCAGGGTCTAATAGGCAAAACATAATGAAGAAAGTTCTATTTCAAAATACTTGGCAAAAATTTTATGTCTTACACATTCAAATTCAAGGGGTTCTTTTATCCCCTTATATTACTTACCAACTATGAACTACTGTCTTTCACCCACCCCTTACCATGTTTTATTATTTGCTCAAATATATGCTGGACCAAAAAGGAGAAGAACTTCTAGGAATTAGCCTAGCACAGTAATAGCTGGTATTTATATGACATCTTAAACTTTGTAAAGCACTTTATATACATATCCTCTCATTTGAACTTTACAACAACCCTATGAAGTAGGGACTACATGTATTATTATTCTAATTTTTCAGCTAATCAAGGTTCAGAAAAATTAAGTGACTTGCCATGGTCTTACAGATTTAAAAACAGGATTTGAATTCAGGTCTTCCTCACCCCAAATCTTGCACTCTATTACTATGCCACAGTACCTTTCCCAAAGGAACAGAGGAACTAGAGAAGGAAAATCCCTTAGAGAACATCTGATCCAAAAACCTCATTTTACAGCTGAAGGAACTGCAACCCATGAAAAGGAAATGTATTTGTCCAAGTTCACACAAGTAGTAAATAGCAATGACAGGATTTGAATCCAAGTCCTCTCACTCCCAAACCAATATCTTTTCATTATGTCACATGACTGTCAGCAGATGAACCTAAGTATATTAATTAACCTAAGTATATTAATTTCCTTGGAAAGTAAAATGGCAATGGAATTATAGAAATTCAAGACTGGAAGATTCTTTAGGTACTATCTAATCTAGTCCTCTCACTCCATAATTTTAGTGACTTACCTCAAATCACTTGGCTAGAGAGAGGCAAAACAGAGACTCAAACTCTGGTTTCTGACTCTCAGTTTCCACTACATTCCCTTGAAAAATAGCATTGCTACCACACATACGGTCAAGAACACTCATCACCACTGAAGACATATGCCATAACATACCATCCCCAGAACCACGGGGGACTACACATCAGAGAGGAGAACTTCCCTGTTACACAACGCAAGGTGAGTATTTCAGGAGATACATTTCCTGGCAAACAAGTACCCAAACTGGTTAGGATATTTGAGTATACTGGGTGCTATAAGTTCAAGTTTGGGATACTAGAGTTGTGTATACAGTCAAACAGGTTTCAGTGAAACAATAACATGTTGGCTCTTTAGAATCATGTAAACAGAGGAAATGGTTCCACTTTTCTGCTGATTAGACACAGTCACAGACCACAGTTATTTGCCATCTTATAGTATAGTAATCTTCCACTAATGCCCCACTTTGATGCCTTAGCACAGAGTGGAACCCTCTTTTCCTCAAAATCTAAGCCAGAAGCAAGCAAACTATTTCAGGTTCTACTGAGCTAGGCAGACTGTGAATAGGGGCTTGTAATATAGCTTGTTTCAAGTTGGAAAATAAAACAGAGCATTTAAAATTTGCTATAGGGCATCAAGTTGGAAAATAAAACAAAGCATTTAAAATTTGCTATAGGACATCTATTTACTTTTTTATTACATGTAAAAATATATGTCACATAGTAATAGGTAGATATACTCAGGGAATATTAAGAGGTCATTAATTATCAACCATTTATTAAATATGCTTACTAGATGCAAAGCCATATGCTGGAAGCTGGATCCCAGTTAGAAATGTTTTTGCTACGGTTGTTATTTTTACTATTATTCTTAACATTTACATCACATTTTTGTTTAAATATAGTCTGTAAAAACAAATTTTGTTTTTACGGACTTAAAAGAGAATTTCATCTTACTTTTTTAAAAAATGAATAATTGGAATGAATAGTTTTCATGTAACTGGCAGAATTGTGACAGGTTTTTAAGTCTCCTATGGACCACTAGAGGGAGCTTTGATTATAATAATTGTTAGAGTAGCACTTTAAAGGAGTTTTTTCATTTTTTCTGTGATTATCAGCTTAAATGTTTTTGGTAAATGCTGATAGGAAAGAAGAGGCATTATTATAAGGACAAGATAATTTATAAAAAGGATGAAGTTTAAGTATGTTCAGAACTTGCAAAGAGGCTGCTCACTATAATCTCAACTGCTGAAATCCAGATTCTGTCCCCAGAACTTTTTTGAAAGACAATTCTCTAATGTCACCAATTGCCTTATCCCAAGAATGTCCAAAAGAACAGGAAGGGCTGAGGTGTCACCAAAGAAAAAGCTATTGTTGAATTTGTGACATAGTCACCTACACTCAGTTCTCTGCCTTATTCCATGGCTAAGATCTCAAGCAGTTTACTGGCCAGTTCAATGCATAAACTTTTCCAAGGAGACAGCCAATACGGGCAGATACAAATAGCATTACAAAGAGAAACTGCTTAAGTAACTAGACTCCCCAGAATTGCCACTGTTCTGCTACAAAGAGGCTTCACTGGAATCGTTTACTCTTTCCTTTTGATGCACACAGCTCAACAACCACAATATGACGGGCAAGCCTAAAGACTAGCCCAGTCTAAGCAACCTTACTTTTCTAGGCTTCCTACAAGTAGCCTCAGGGTGGGAGATAGATAAATGTCCATATTAAGGCAATGGCAACAGCCAGTTACCCAACACTGTCCTACACAACTCCCTGACTATGGTAACATTAATGACTTAGCAAGCCAATAAAATCAAGCCTCTTCAATGCTTCATCTCTTGATTTCTCCTCAGTATTTGGTACTATCATCTACCTTCCCTTCCTTGATGATCTCTCCACTCCTGAATACAGTGATTCTGATTTCTCTTGGTTCTCTCCCCTAACCCTTTCTTCCTGTGCTCTTTCACTGGGTCCCCTTCTTCCTCCCACCTTCTAGGTGCAAGCATCAACCAACACTCTATCTTTGGCTTGTTTTCTCTTTTCTCCCTATACCCATTCCTTTGTCAGTCTTATCCACTTGGATGACTTCAATTCACCTTCTATGCAGATAACTTACAAAGCCATATTTCCAATCCCAACCCCTCTCTTGAGTTCTAGTTCCACATTTTCAGCCCCTCAAATTCAAAATACCCCATACTGAACTCATTGAATTCCTTTCTAAACCCACTGCTCCTCTTACCATCCATATTAAAAAAAAAAAAAAGACACTGCAATTAATTCTTCTAGTCGCCTAGGGACAAAGTATGTCCAGTCACTGAGGCACCTTGGAATGGGTCTCATGTCCTATCTTTTTTCCTTACCTCAGATTCTCTATTGCCTCTTAGGTAAAACACAAAATCCTCAGTAGGCATCTAAGGTCCTTTACAAACTGTACTCCATTTACCTTTCCAGTCTTTTTTCATATTACTCATCATCTCAAATGCTCTATTCTTATCACACCTCCCTCCTGAGTCTTTACACATGTAGTCCTTCAGGTGTAGATTGCATTGTTTTCTCATCTCTTCCCTATGCAAACCCAAGTTTCCTTATATGTACATCTCAGCCGCCACCTCTTTCACCAGGTCTTCTCTGGGATGCTCCTCCTCCCGCCCAACCTAACCAATTGTCAACACTCTCCTCTTGAAATTAGTTTGTATGATTTTGTATGCAGTTTATATTTACCTTTATGCACATGTGCTATGCCCTCTCCCAGCAGAATATAAGCCCCTTGAGGGCAGGACTGGCACAGTGTCCCTTGTACATAGTGGGCACTTAATAAATGCTCACGGAATTAAACTGACTAAATGTTTGTGGCACATTAAATCAAATCCCCAGGTTACAGGTCCCAACACAGGACACTGTTGTCTCTCTTTCCTCCTGTTAGGTTACCTGTGTCTTTGATCCAGTGCTATAGAGGCCTGCTGTTCTCCCCATTGCTGCAGCACTCGGTATACAAAAGAAAAAGGAAGGAATGACATTGCTGAGGCCATGAGCCAAAAACTCCTGCAAAGTTAAAAAGAGAATATGCAACTTACCAGTCACAGGAAACCAGTTAAAGACACATTAACAACCTCTGTAAATAGCATTGGGGGACCACTTTTCAAAGAGCAATGCTAGAGTCAGGACTTTATGTTTAGGGAAATATCTGAAGGTTTCAGCCTTAATCTGGAGTCAGAACTGTCCCTCGACAGCCTGCTGGAAAAACGTCTCCTGATTGTAACTGTACTTATAGCTGGAAACAAGACACACAGTTCAATTCAATTGAATAAACATTCCCTGAGCAACAACTTACTATGTGTAATGCCCTGGGCTAAGCCCACCTAGGGGCTTGGCATCTGCCTCTCAGAGCTCACCTTAGAGTAGGGAGTACATTACAAAGTGTCATGTGAGAGAGGTACAGAGAAGACACCACGAGAGTCCATAGGAAGAAGGTGGCCACACTAGTGGTTGAGAAAGAGACAGGGTTTGATTGGTGCCTTAAGGCCTGAGTAGGAATTCAACTGGTAAAGAAGTTGGGGATGGGCATTCCATGCTGAGATACGGTAAGAATAAAGGGGAATATCTGAAATAAGGCTGGAGAGTTAGGAGGGCATCACCTTGTTGAGAGTAAAGGGCTAAATGCCCCTCCTATCAGAAACATACTGACTTAGAAAACTACTCAAGAGTTTTTCAGGTTACAAGTCTGAAACTCCTGATGTAAGTCATTAATACAAATAAGGCAATTAGGAGCAGGGACAGGATTTTGGGGAAAGAGGATGAGTTCTGGTTTGGGATATCTGCAGGGTGAGAAGTACTTTACCTGGTTGTCATCAACTGAATATTTGAATTTTTTGGCAGAACCTTGGGCAAGGGCTAATGAGGCTACATAGCCAACTAGTGCAACTCCAAATGCTTCAGTGACAACTTCTGAAAGAATATTCATTGGAGGTGCCCTGGGTGAAGGAATTCTGCAGAAAGAAAAAAACATATTGTTATCATTAACCACAGTTTAAATCCAGCAATTCCTTCTAATCAAATCAATTTGCATAATGGTCTTGTGGCTTACAGAAGGCAATTAAAATATATTACCATGAGAAACTTAAGTAGTATTGTCCTCAAAAACTATTTTCTTGATTTAAACTTATTTTTGTGATAGAGAAGGGGCATGAAGAAACTACATTGTAGCTCAAACTACAAATCAATATGCAGTCCTAAAGTACCTACTTATGTGTAAGACATTCTCTTAGGCACTAGAGATACTGAGACAAAAAACTATAAACAGTCCCTGACCTTAAGGAGTTTATATTTTACAGAGAGAACATAATCTGTACACAGATAAGTAAGTACAAAGTCTATGCAAAGTACTTCCATGGGCAGGTGGGTACTAACAATTGGGAAGGAAGGAAGAAGGATTAGAAAAAGTCTTATGAAGGAAATGGCACCCAAGCCAAGCCTTGACAAGTCTCTAAGTGAGGAAGGGTGGGGAGGATCCAGCAGATGTGTGTTATAATTCTGGTTCTGCCACCTACCAGCTGGAAGATCTTGAGAGGTTCTTTGAAACTCTCTGGGCTTCAGTTTTCTCACCTATTGTTGTTGTTACGTCGTTTTCCAGTTGTGTCCCAACTTTTTGTGACTCCATTGGGGTTTTCTTGGCAGAGATACTGGAGTGGTTTGCCATTTCCTTCTCCAGCTCATTATTTATAGATGAAGAAACTGAAGCAAACAGGGTTAAGTGGCTTGCCTAGGGGCACATAACTACTAAATGTCTGAGGCCGGATTTGAACTCATGAAGAGGAGTCTTCCCATAGTTCCAGGCCCAGTGCTCTATCCACTGCACCTCCTAGCTGCCCTATATTCTCACCATAACATGGGGATAATGCCTACATCGGAGGGTTCTTGTGAGGATCAAATGAGATGAAGTATATGGGACCATTTTGTAAGTTAGAAAGTGCTATATAAATATAAATAATTATTATTAAAAAGCATTTATGTCCATGATATGATGGTTAAATCACAAAAATTCTCACACTATAGGAATTTCTAATTTGTTGTTTGTTTGGTTTTATCTGAAGAGTAGCAATTCCATGTTGTTGTTTTCTGTTGTAATTTAAACCTTCCAAAATATTTACACAGGTTAATTTGAACTTTATTCCTTCTTTTGAATACTAAAATGCTCTATCTCATGGTGTACATCTCCTTATTTAATCCACTGTTATTTTAAGTCTTAAATGAAATAATTATTTTGAACTCAAAGCATTGCTGTTGTTGTTTGGTCATGTCTGACACTCTGTGATCCCATTTGAGGTTTTCCTGTCGAAAATACTGGAATGGTTTTGCCATTTCCTTCTCCAGATCATTTTATAGATGAGGAACTAAGGACAACAGGGCTAAGTGACTTGCCTAGGGTCACACAGTTAGCAAATGTCTGAGGCCAGATTTGAGCTTGGGAAGATGAGTCTTCCTGACTTCAGGCCTGGCACTCTATCCACTGCACCACCTAGATGATGAATACCAAGGCAGGTATCTATCAACTCATCATGAACAATAGGGAGGTATGCTAACTACACAAAGAATGTATCCTAGCCAGGAAAAAAAGTCTCAAGTTTTCTCAGACCTGATGATGGACACCTATACATGGTGATTAAAATGGGGACAAATTATGCAACTAGAAAGAAGCTAGAAATCACTGGTAAAGAACAGGAAGTCATAGGCAAGGAACTTAAGCCACTAGTGGCATAGGTGGTGTTTTCATCACAATTGCAAATTGGGGGGAGGGAAATAGCTAAATTCTGAAAGCAAAAAGTTAGTTAAAAAGATGGTCTCAGTTTCCATATCTATGAAAGATAGAGATAATACTAAATGATCTCTCATATTCCCTCTGAGTTCAAATCTATGATGTCGTAGTCTCAAGATGTCTTGGAATGGGATTTGGATTTCAGCGACATGGCTTAAAATATAGGAATATCACAATCAATCAACAAGCACTGGTTAAGCGGTCACTATATTCCAAGTACTTACTAGGTACTGGCAATTAGCTCTAGGACAATAATAGAGTACCTTTAAGAAGTAAAGTTTGTAGGGGCAGCTAGGCAGCATAGTGGATAGAGCACTGGCCCTGGATTCAGGACGACCTGAGTTCAAATCTGACCTCAGACACATAACACTTACTAGCTGAGTGACCTTGGGCAAGTCACTTAACCCCACTGCCTAGACAAAAAAAAAAAAAAAAAAAGAAGTACAATTTGTTGTCATTCAAATTTTATCAAGAGGCCTTAAAACTGAAAATATAGGGAGAGACAAGAAACTGTGTGGATGTGGATGTGTATGCCAGATCTGAAACCACAAACAGTAGTAGACATAACATAAGGAAAATTAAAGAATAAACTAATAATTCATAAGAAACAGCATGCCAAAAGAAAGGCAATAATAAAACCTGTAGCATCAGATATCTATATATGAATGAACATTCTCTGAGTAATAAATTAGGTGAAAGAGAAATCTTAATCCAAAGCAGAGAATTTTACTTTAAAGGTATCTTTGAGATTTGGTATCTACTAAGGTATAATGTGACTTATAACTGGAATATTGTTACTGAAAGTTATACCTTATTTAATAGAAGTGGTAGAATGTATTATATATTAAGAATACATACTCATAAGGAATTTACAAGGGCTTGATTAGGTAAATATGATAGAAAGCATTTGGATGAGAATCAATGGAAGACGCAACAGAAGTGATAATGGGATAGGTATATATATGCTACAGATTGATGAGCCAAAAGTAGAAAATGGATGAATTTGAAAAAATACAACAAAATTTGCCAGGATACACCATCTAGAGATCTACTTTAATTCCTTCTTTGCTAAAAGCAAAGATAGTCCATAAATTCTTGACTTGTCTTAATTATAATCCAATTCCTTAAAATGTAAATATATATGTGTATGTGTATATATATGTGTATATATGTATATATGTATATGTATATATGTATGTGTGTGTGTGTATACATATATATATATATACACATATATATGTGTGTGTATATATATATATATGGAACTAAACCAAACAGGAAAAACTGGTTTTTCAAGAATAAATAATGAGAGCCTTAGAAGGAGGTTACCACTCCATTTAGTATTTCATAATAGGTTAAGGAAGTGAAAGCTGAGTAGAAATGACATAAAAACAAAATTTTTAGGACGGATTTCAAAGAGTTCAGACAAAGAACAGGTAAGACATCATGGCTTAAATTTCTATAAGGGATTTTGGCACAAGAGTAGTATTGCTCTTAAAACTCTGATAACCCAAACACATATGATTCTGAAGATAGAAAAACGCCATAAAGAGAATGATATAAATGCATATAACTCATTGACCAACTTGGATTTTAAAGTATTTGTACAGGAGATGGAAGCAAAGACTGCTAATTGAGAATGAATATTAGCAAGTGACAGCATCCTGTAAGTGGTGCTTAAAACAAAAAACAACAACAACAACAAAAAGCTAATGCTGATGATTAGTGCCAATAACAACAGAAAGTAATTTTAAGCTATGTTGGAGGCAAGAGTCACCTTTTTAAAAGGTGAGGGAGAGTAGGAGTGAAGTATGATAGGAACAGAAGATAGAGAGAAAGCAAAACTATTCCCTTATGTTTTCTCAAAGAACAATTTTCAGAAAAGCAAAGATAGAATAAAAAAGATAACAGATTTGATATCCAAAAAAAATGATGTTAAAAGAGCACCATTAGATAAATTTACCAGATTTTGGGTAATGTTGACTCAGTAACCTAGATAAGCTACATATCAGGCTACTAAAAGAACCAGTAGGTTCGAACTTCAAAACACTACTGATGATCTGTGAAAAATCATGAAGTAGAGGTGCCACAAGACTAAAGACAGACAAATGTCCTAATTTCCTCCCAAAAGAGCAAAAGGTAGATTTTTTTAAACTCTAGGCTGGCATAGTTGATTTCCATTCTTGGCAAAAATCAAAAGAATATTATCAAGAAGATAGTTTGTGAGTATTTGGAAAAGAAAGCAGTTAGTTATCATTAAGAGCCAGCATGAGTTTAATAAGAAGGATTCATACTATACTAACCTCATTTCCTTTTTTGACAAGATTAGTTGACTCAATCAGGAGAATATTATAGACAGTATGTCTGGATTTCAGGAAAGCATTTAAAAAAAAATCCTTGTAGACAAGATGGAAAGATGTGGGCTAGATGGCAGTATATGTAAGTGGATGCAAAACTGATTGATGAATGGATTCCAAACAAAACAAGAGTTTGGCTTTCTAAAACATACTGTCTTCATGACTAAAGTTAAGTCACTTAACATCTCAATGATCAAGCAATTTCCTAAGACTAAATTATAAAAGAAATTGCCAATTTGAATTGGTAGAGCTCTTCAGACTGATGAAAGTACACGTCACACTGCTGAAAGAAAATGACATAGATCTGTACTCCCATACAGTATCCAATAGGTCAACATACCAGCTATAATATAAATACATGTGTTAAAATAAATACAAAGGTAAGGCAGTGATAAAAAGGTAGTTTAAAACCCCATGTGCAGTATTACTTTTCTCGCTTGATAGTCTATAAACTATTTGAAGGAGCTGGGGATATTTTTCCCCAGAGAAAAGAAGTCTTAAGGTAAGGTAGGAGGAGCATGACAGCTATCTTTGGGTATCTGAAGAGCTGACCACTCACTCAATCATAATTGTTCTATTAGGCCACAGAGAGCAGAAATAGAAACAAAGTCTTAAAAGTGGACTAGGTTGTCCTGGTAGCTAATGAGTTCCCCCCTCATTGGAGGTCTTCAAACAGAGGCTGGATGACTGCTAAAGAGGTCACATATGCTATAGAGGAGATTCTTTTCCACATATAGGTTGGACTACATGCTTCTGAGGTCCCTTCCAATTTTGAGAATATAGTGCTTAAACATTCATTATATTACTCCTTTGGAATGAGTATTGTTTTTCTTACATAGAATCAAGCATTTACAGATGTTTTCTCCTGGCCTACCCAGTTTGGAATAAAAAATGTGACACATTTCCAAGTTTTTTTTAAATTCAGAAGTTCTTTCTTTTTGAGCTATCGAAATCACTTTTGAAATAAATGGCAAACAGGGTGGAGGTGGAGGAGAAGGGCAGGGCAGAGGGTCCAGTGTTTGTACCTTTGGCCAGATCAGGAGGCCAGATGGGCTGTTGAGCTGACCAGCAGGGTGAGCATTTCAGAAATAATCAGTGAACCTGTTGCAATATCAGCTGGCAGCATGGTTTGTGTGTCTCCAGACCCTGACCCTACCTTCCAGGATTCTCCACCCAGCACTCACCCAGAACCTCTCCTGTTCTGAGAAACTCCATTCTAAAGACAAATCAATAGTTCTTGTGATCCAGTAGGGGCTATGCCACCAAATCAAGAATTGGGGTCTGACGTGGAAAAACTGGCCAAGAAATTAAGGAAGCAGCATTCAAACCATCAGCAGAATGAATGTTTAAAATTGATCAGATGGGAAGATGGTTTGTTGCTGGAGGAGATGCTATTGGCCTTGGAGCATTCTGCTTCTATGGTGTGGGAATGTCAAATGAGACTGGAGCTATTGAAAAAGCAGTAACTTGGCCACAGTGTGTGATAAAATTCATGCCACCTATATGTTTCATAGGGAGTGTAGGTTTAACAGCATTGTCTGCCTTAGCAGTTAGCCAATCACCTGTTTTAACAACTGGAGGAACTTTTGCAGCTGTGATTGGAGCTGGGATGCTGGTTCAATCAATATTGTATGAACGAAGCCCAGGCCTAAAACATCTTGCTTGGATGTTCCATTATGGTGTCATGAGTACAGTGGTGGCCCTTCTGACTTTGTTTGATGGCCCTCTGATCCTCAAAGCTCTTTGGTATACAGCAAGCATTGTGGGTGGCCTCTCTATTGTAGCCATGTGTGCCCCAAGTGAAAAATTTCTAAACATGGGAGCACCACTGGGAGTGGGTCTGGGTGTTATTTCTGTTTCTTCTCTGGGATCTGTGTTTCTATCACCTACTACTCCACTTGGTGCTGGTCTTTATTCTGTGGCAACATATGATAGATTAGTTCTTTTTAGCAATGTTCCTTCTATATGTTACCCAACAAGTCATCAGGCATGCAGAAGGAGGGCCAATGCATGGCACAGAAAGACATGACCCCATTAACTCAATGATGGGAATCTATATGGATACACTAAATATCTTTATGCAAGTAGCCACTACGCTAGTCACTGAGAGCAAAAAAAAAAAAAATGAACTGATTGCATTTTGATCCATCCAAACCAAATCTAATACTCTTGCTTGTGTTCTTGGTACGTGTATTTATTAAATCATTTCTTGTACAAGCAGCTTCGGTTGAAGTCAGAAGTTCAGAGCCACTTCAGCATAGTTAAGATATTCCAGTATAATGTGATGCTTCAAGTTCTACCTTTCTTGCGAATAAATTCAGCACTTCTCTTGCTTAAATAAGCACATAAACTTTCCAGTTTTTATCTTTGAGTAATTGCTAAGGGAAAAGGAACAAACTTTTCAGTATTACCACTTTGTTTCAACATTCTGTTGGTTGTCCAGATTTTTACTTGTTTTATAACATTATTTAACAAAGACTTTTATTGCCATCCAAAAAGGAGTCAACTGTGTACGAGAGAGCCTCAAGATTGATGTAGAGGACCTGTCTCTAGTTTTAGATTTGGCTGTAAGAGTGTTTAAGTGATTGCCACTTCCTAACAGGCAATAGATAGGGTTTATCAGGTTTAGTTATTAGTGTGCAGTTGTCTTTAACATAATTAGCACAACCTGATATTTTCAGGTGAAACATCTATCCTAAAAAGACAGCCAAGTATCTTTGTAACAATACCTTTGGAATATCAATATAATACTCGTATTTCAAGTACAGAAAAGGCACTTTAGCAATCCACTGAGTCTCAAAATGTTAACCTCTGCCAAGTATTCCTATCATAGTTTATATTTGTAAGTTCTGTCTCTGAATCATCTAGAACCATTTATTTTGAGACATATTTTGCTTTAAACTTAAAGCTTCAAAAGTATCAAATAGGTTACCTATTCCAACCTTGCTACAGTAAGTGCATTGATACATACAGATGTGGCTTTTTCAACATAGGACAAAGACTGGGGCTTTATTTTTTAAAAAGATCCTGTTTGTCATTTAGGATGTGGAATCGTTTTCCTTTCCAACACTATCAGAGAGCAATGTTACTGCATCCCTCCCCAATAAATGCTAAAATTAGAGGCCGAATTAGTTCTGTCTTCATAAAATATTTTTTTATTCATGTTAATTTTTCCACAGATTGTCCCCCTCAATCCATTATTAATTTAGAAACAAATTCCTTCTAAGTAAAGCTTGAAAAGTTATGATACAGAATAAATTATTTTTGGAAGTTTTTTAATGAATGAAATTGAGTCTGTAAAATTATTGCAATGATACAATTACTATTTCTGGAAAGATGTGTGTTTACTCACCAGCTATCCAGAAATAGCTAATTTATCCACTGGAGAGATATGGTGTACTTATTTCTGAAATAATAAAATCTAGCTTGAAAAAAAAAAAGAAAGAAATGGCAAACATTAGCAAAGAAAGAACACATTACCCATCTGGAATATGTCCCACAACATCCAATCCATAGGTGTATTCCATGTTGACACAATAGCAAGCAAATGATGCAGCAATAATCTATTTGATTAAATAAAAAAGAAATATTAAAGGCTTCACAGACACTCAATAACCAGCTTAAAAGTAAACATTTTTATATTTCCTTGTATTTTTAAGAAGAACATAGTTGCTATGTAGATATTAAGATTCGTTGAGAAAAAAGGAATCTTCTAAATCAAGGAAAAATCAACACAGTTGATTTGTAGTTAACCCTACTGTGCCTGAAAATAGTACCACCAATTTTTGTTTATTAAATCCTATGTATAGTAATTGCAACTCATTTCTATAGCACTTTGAAATTTACAGACCTGACCCTCTCTCCCCCCTCAACAACTCTGAGAGGCAGACAGCCTCATCTTGTAGATGATTAAGCCAAGGCTATGAGAAGTTAGGTATCTTGCCCAAAATCAAACAGGTACTAAAGTGGCACAATGAGGATAAGTTCTATATGAGGGGTTTTTAACCTTTTTTTGTGTCATAGACTCCTTTAACAATCTGGTAAAACCTATGGACTCCTATGTCAGAATAATGTTTTCAAATGCATAAAATGAAATAGATAGGATTACAAAGGAAACCAAAGGTTGGCGAAAGTAAAGATATATTATTTTCTAAACCAGTTCACAGATCTCCTGAAATCTATCCACAGTCTGCAAATCCCAGGTTAAAAAACTCCTGTTTTATTTAAAGTGTACCACACATTCTATAGTCATCACATTCAAAAGCTACTGGAGATGTACATGGCATGGAAAGAAAAGACCATAGACTGGGCACTGAAAGGGACTTCATGAGATCACCTAATCCAACATCTCAATTTTACAAATGAGGAAACCGAGTCTAAGAGAGATTATATGATTTGGTGACAAAGGTTGGAAGAACAGAGCTTAAATTTTAATTCAGTGCTCTCTCTCCAAATCCAGTTTTTAAGAATAAGAGATACTATCCAGGCAAGTCCACTAGCCCTTTCAGCTCAGCATTCTATCTGACAGTGGCATTTTTGCGTGTGTTTTAAGCTGCTCATTATTATAGCTACCTCATTAAATAAGAAAACTATTAACTTAGAAAAATATTTTTCAACAGAGGTATCATCTGAAATCTACTGATCACTGGAGAGTTTTAGTTATTTAATGAGAAGCTGGGCAGACATCTAGAAATTTGTTCAAAGAACTGGCTAACCTTTGAAAAAAGGATTACGAATTTTCTACGTGTCACTTTAGATTTGTCTTCTTTGTGTTATCTTTAATATTATAAACTCCTATAGCACTAGGAGAGTGTTCTTTTTTAATCACAAAACAAATCAAAATAAAACAAAACATACTACATTGCAAAGCAGGCATTCAATAATTCATGATAATAGCAGCTCCACTGTTTAAAAAGCAAACAAAAAACAGTACTGAGAATGTGCCTTATAATATATCCTTACCTCAGCTTTAATTATAACCGTATTGACACTGATGGAAACTCAATCAATGAATTTTATTGGACTATAATTAAAAATCATGAAAAGCTTGTCCCAAGTTAAAGAAATTACATTTTGCCTTACAAAAGGCGATGCTCCATAGATGTGAGGCTCTGTCAACTATTATATCTCTAATACATGCAGCAGAAGTCATAGTTAAGATACTGAGTTAACCTAACCTGAGCTACTGAATTGGCCTCCCATACATAGTGACTCATCCTTATCACTTCAGTGTCTCATGTGTGAGACAGCATGTCAGATCTTTTGCAATCAGTACAACCTAACTATTCAATTTTCAATATTCTTTACACACAAATATGAACAAGGTTCTCTACAATTCCACAATAATAACAATCTTTATTATATTTAAAAGGGATGGGCATCCCTTTTGTTTGTTGTGAATTTCCTTTTTGGATTCCACAAGAATATAATAAAATCATATCCATCTCCAAAAAAGCATTTATAAAAACTGTATTTGCATCTGGCTTTGGTCTACTGTAAGTTACATAGTTGTTTCTCTCCAGATGGGCCTTAAAGAAGGCAGCAAAGCAGAAAGCACTGGTCTGGCAACTGGGAGATAGGGTTTCCTCTTCTGTTAATGACCTGTGTGACACTGGGTAACTCTTTTGAACTCTCTGGGTCTCAGTTTCCTTATATGTAGATGAAGAGGATAGAATAGATTCCTTCCAGCTATACAATTCTAATAAGAATTGTGGAAGAACCCTCTGGCTTTTTCCTCTGATCAGTTGCTTTTAAAACCTTCATTCCTCCTTCATTCCTCTCTGAGCCCACTCTTGACTCTCTCAACTTCTTTCTTCTACCCTAGCCCCTGGTTTTTAAGCTTCCTTTTAAGTGAAGTATTGCCACCCACCTCCATTTGAATGTAAGCTCCTTGAGAGCAGGGACTGACTTCCTTTTTACTTCAATTCATGTTTCTCATGCTTAGCATAATTAAGTGCTTAATAAACGCCGACTGACTTGACTTGTTGACTTTCACACGTATTGTTTTATCCTTACAAGAACCTCTAAGGTGGGCAGATCAAGTACTATTATATTCACTCTACAGAAGTGGAAAGTGAGTCTCAGGTAGACATGAGAGAGCTCCTCCCCGTCTTCCATTTAAAGAGGGCCTAGAATAGTCATCTCCTGCCCCATGCCAGGCACTCTTTGTCCCTTAACCTCCCCATTCCCTTAAGCTTTTTTTTAATTTATTAAAATTTATTCATTTATTAGAATGTAAGCTCTTCTTCTTGAGGTCGGAGACTGTCTTTTGCCTTTCTTTATAGCCCCACTGCTTAGCACAGTATCTAGCACCTAGTAGGCACTTAAAAAATGTTTATTGACTAATAATGGATCTTACATATCTGAGAGGTACTTTATTTCTCCATCTGGATATTTTAAAGAAAAATAAAGAAGAATAAATAATATTGAGAATTGCCATAAACGCATGTATATATTAGGTGAGTCCAAATAGCCTTAGTGCTTTTCTATCTTAGAGATATGGGGGGGGGGGGGGTAAATCATCTTTCTATGAAACACCTAACCAAAATACATTTTGTAAGGACAATTTTCCTAACTGCTAGTTTTCAAATCAACAAACATATATTAACCACCTACTATGTGTATGGCACTGTGACAGATGCTAGAGAGATAAAAAACGATGCAGTAACTTCTTACTTCAAGGAGCTCACAGCTTAATCATGGAAGTTAGGAAAGGGCAAATAAGATGATATAAAGCAGAATCTAATAAGGATAAAGGAGAACCAAGAGAACTGCTATGAGAGAGCGGAAAGTAGAGAAATCACAGGGTCATAAATCTAGAGCTGGAAACGACCAGACAGGGCCATCTAATCCAAACCCCTCATTCTACAGATAAAGAAACACGAGCTTAGGGAGATGAAATAATTTGCCTAAGGTTACACAAATAGAAAGCACCAAAAGTAAGATTGGAACCCAAGTCCTCTCACTCCAGAGTAGGTGCTCTTTCTACTCTACTCCATAGCATCTCTCTAATCTGGAGGTACAGATGAGAAAGGAAGGAAGAGGGGTCAGATAAGGCATTTTGGAAAAGGCAGCATCTGAACTGGGTATTTGGGAATTGGAGGAAGGGATGGACATCACAATAATAGACAGAAATTGGGGAGGGAGGTGATACTTTTTTTAAAAAACTGAAAATGGGCAAAGGCAAAAGACAGGGGAAGTGAAGGGAATAAGCATTCATATAGCCCCTGTCAGGCACTGTGCTAGTACTTTTTACAAATACTATTACATTTGATTCTCACAATTCTGCAAGGTAAGTGCTCTTATTATCTCTATTTAGCAAACAGATATTAAGTGACTTGCCCATGGTCACATAGCTAGTAAGTATCTGAGGACCGATTTGTAATCAGGTTTCTCTGACTCCAGGCCTAGCATTGTATCCACTGCACCATTCATCTGAGAACAAGGAACAGTAAAGAGTATGATTTGCCTGGTGTGTAGACTGGAAAAGAAGGACAAGATGTGAAAGACATTTTAGAGGCAGAAATGACAAGACTTAGCAAACTATTAAATCTGTGGAGTGAATGAGAGGGAAGATTCAAAGATCTTCTGAGATTGTGAGTTTGAGGAACCTGAAATATGGTGAATCTATTGTTGTTGTTGTTCATCCTTTGTTTTTGAAGAGGACCAATGACATCACAGGGAGATGTCTTGACTTGCAAGTGAATTGGATTTAAGTGAGGCAGTTGCACGTCAGTCTCAACTCTTTCTTGCAGAATCATCAGAAGTCCAATAGCAGGACAAAAGTCAGGATGACTAGAAAAGGCCCAGATGCAGTAGATGACCTTGGCATCTTGTATGTCTCAATAAGCTCTAAGTGTTCCACAGTACCTGCTTCAGTTGCTTTCATGGCCATTTGGAACAAATTGTTCTTATCCTCCCATTCCACCAGGGAAAGTCTTTCACATGCTTGAGATAGACATCCCCCTAATTCACTGATGGGTTTGAAGCCCATTGGTTACTCCTAATGGTAATGTAAATGGTGAATCCATTAACAAGGATATAGAAGGTAGGGGAATGGCAGAGTTAGTGGAGTAAGATGACAAGTTAAGTTTTAAATATGTTGAGTTTAAGATGCCAGTAGATCATCTAAGCAGGGATCTCCAAAAATTGAGGGGAGAGAGTGATTTGAATAAAGGTGATCACTGAAACCATGGGAGAGAATGAAATCAACAAAGAAACAAGAGTGTAGAGAGAAAAAGAGAAGAGATTCTAGGATAGAACACTGGGCAATACCCATGTTTAAGGGTCAGTTAGAAGATGAGAAATTGAATAGAGACAGAGAGATAAGAGGAGAATGATGAGAGTACAGTGTCACAAAAACTCAGACAGGGAGAGTATCAAGAATGTGGGAGTTGTCCACAGAGTAAAATGTTTCAGAAACGGCAAGGAGTATGAGACTAGGGGAAAAACACCATTGGATTTGATGATTAGGAGGCCTGCAAGTGACCTTGGAGAGAGAAGTTTCAGTGGAGTGGTAGCAGTGGAAGTCAGAATGAAAAGAGTTGAGGAAGATGAAGGAGTGATGAAAAGGGGCTAGCATGTATATACTACTCTCTAGTTTTACAAATTAATGGAATTTCTATAAAGTATTGACTTTATGAAGCGATATCATAATGAAGTAAATGATCACTCCCAATACACATGTTGAGACTAAATGTTTATTAATCAGCTAATGTTAATTAGCAATCAATGAACTGGGAGACCTTGCTAGCATTGAAACTTCTTGACCTAATAGTTTATTTTAAACTGTGGTCATTTAAGGCTTTTCAAACCCCAAAATACTTTTTTTTTTAAAAAAAAAGCAAATGTTCTTAGAAGTAAATATTAAACATTCGAACAATCTGGACCCTTTACCAGATTCCACAAACACCACCTTATTATGCTAACAGTCCCTGATTAACACAGCAGACACCAAAGATAAAACCCCATTATATAAATATAATTAGTGCCAACATGGGCCCCATTGACAAATTTTAATTTGTCGATCATTTATAACTATTTGCCAGTTTCTTAGACATTAGCCATGACATCTATATACCAGCTCAGTAAAATACCAGTCAGAGATTTTCAACACCATCTTCACACTGCTTTATGAAGAATCATGCCTACAACCTTTCAAGTATAGCCCTCAAAAGAGTCTCACAGTACAACATCTTAGGCTATATGTTCTTGTACTTATGTGAGAAATCACAAACATATGAACAATGCTTTAAAAATTGGAAACATATGTGACTTCTTTTTTTAATTATTTACTCAAACTGTTTCCTGTTCTTACATTAATGGATAGCCATGCAAATTAGTCCTGCCTTTAATGAGAGGCAGACGTGGCTGTGGGTAACCATAGACAACATGGTAAGCGTTGGCAGATTCCTCAAACAACTGTGAGCTTTGTACTTCAGAAATCCTAATATTGATTTCCTACTTACCAAAACTAAATCGACAGGAAGGACAACTTTAATTTTCCTTTTAAACTGTTCATTGAGCTCTTTAACGAGAACAAGCACCACGATGCTCAGCAAGGACAGCAGCAGTGCCTCTAATTGAACCGACTTGATGTTTTCAAAGACGTAGGCATAGATCTACAGGGACGCAAGGACAGAAACACACAGGAACATAGTTATTGAGGTTGTTTGTCAACACAAAGCTGCTGAATACCAAGCTCTGACTCACATGTAGCAACAGTTTGATCAAGGACACTGATCACATTGAGGAAGTACAGTTGGTTATCAATGGAGACTGCATTGCTACTTTTGGCTCCCTGTACACAACAGTCCCAGCTATTCCTCTGTGGTAGTTCTCTACAAAGGCATTGTTGCAGTGGCTGATGCTTGTGTATATTCATCAATCATATCTCCAAGCAAATGGAGCATGAGGGATTAGCTGAACCCCAAAAGACTACACACAAAATAACCCCACTTGTTATTTTCCCCCTTCCTTTGCAGAACTGCAAAAATATCCTACCATATGTCCTGCCACCTCACAGACATAAACCTTCCCCCTCCCCACCACCATTTCCTACCTACTGCACTAGAGCTGGTAATTAAATCAACAATATCATCATTTTTGCATATCAGGGCATATCACCTTACTACTCTATGGCTCAATTTGCCATCCTTGTGGCACAAACTCTCTTCCTTGGACACCACTCCCCTAAATGTATTTTTCTCCCCAATTAGAATGCTTGCATATCTAAAATACTTGATGACAGGGACAATCTCATTTTTGGATTTGTAGCCTTAATACCTAGGATATTTCCTAGCATATATGAAGTGCCTAACAAATGCTTATTCATTCATTCAATATCTTTTGATGTCTTGGTTCTCCACTTGTTAGCTGTTTGACCTTGGACAAACCATGTTAACTGCCCTAAGAATCATTTGCCTTTTCTGTGAAATGGATACCATAATACCTGAACTGTATATCTTAAGCAATTGTTCTGAGTATGATAATGTACCTAAAAGTGGTTTGAAAACTATAAAACACTACAAAAATGGGTATCGCTTCTGTTCTATCTGTTCTTCTGGTCTTCAACTTTTCCCTCTTTTTCTCCTTCTTTCTCCTCTTCTTTTCTTTTATAACCACACATATGAAATACTTTCTACTGGTATTTGTAAAAGTTTCATAACATTTGGCTATTAAATATTTATAAAATTCTATCAGTGGTATTGGACTGTTATATATACCCTTTACAACAGCAAGCCTCATTGAAAAGCAGGGTTTTAATTCATTTTTTTAGATTAACAAAGCAATTAATTAATGCTGATTCATAATTTTACAGTGATAAATGGCTAAATGACACTTACATGATCTTTTGACATGTACAATGAAATTATCTTTTGGTGCCATGTAAGCTAACATACATATTTTTCATATTCAAAGATAATATTATTCATGTTTGGTATAATGGAAAAGTCCATTGTTGGACTAGAAGTTCTTTCCACATGGCATATTATACACACAAAATTCTAATGAACAGCTTTTGAGATACAGACATATTCTGCATAAAACTAGACCAAACAACCCAGTGGAATAATTGATAAATTATAACCAAACTCTAACCTGAATTGTGAAACTTTTATATAGTAGTTTGGCCAAACCCTATAAACTATCCTGGCTCAGATTCAGCATCCAGTTCAAATCAGTTATATAATTCACCATTCTGTCAGGCCTAGGAAAACATTGGGAAGTTCATAGGCATTTCCCCTTAGTTTCTCTACTCCCTATAGTTTCTTGAAGGGAGGAAGGGAAAATTTGTTTCCTGAACCCATAGGATTTAGTTCTAACCAATTTCCCTCTTCTTCAGTGAAATGCACTGGGGCTCAGTACTTTTCCATTGCTTTGTTCCTATGAAGAAACAGATGATGCTTTTCCAAGGTGTGGAAGCTAGATTTAAGTTTTTTTGTTAAACTCAAAGTCCAGACTCATCTGAAATTCATCATCTCTAGTTATTAAATTAAAAGTTGGCAGACTCTTAAGAAGGAAAGAGCCCTACTACTCATCTCCTTTCAAAGAGGTCACTGGATCCTGTGACCTCTCCCCTCAGTATCAGCAAATGCTTTTCTCATCACTCCCTCAGGAGTCCAAATTCATCCATGTTTCTCCTCCACCTCCTTTATCTGCCTCTCTCCCATACTATCTCTCTAGTACTTCACTATCCAGGTTAAGTCAAAAGTTCTCCTCTACTTGCTGCTCATCAGCCATGATTTCCTCTGATGACTTGAGATGCAAGGTCTCCATACCTTAGGAATATTTCAAAAGGGCTCCAACCAGCAGAATATGTCCCTCAATTTCCTAATGGGTAACCATATTCCTACTAAAACAGAGATTCTTAGCCATTTTTGTGACTATACTAATAATAATAGCTTGCAATTTAAATAGCACTTCAGATATTTGAAAATATCTCATTTTATCCTCACAGCAATCCCAGAAGGCAAATGCTATTACTATCCCCTTTAATCCTAGAGGTTAAATGACTTGCTCAGAGTCATATATTTGCTAAGTGTCTAAGGCTAAATATGTCCTGACTCCAGATACAATATTCTATCCATAATGCCACCTAGCTGTCCCATAGATCCCTTTGGCAGTCTTGTAAATCCCATTGACCCTTTCTCAAAATGTTTTTAAGTGCAAAAAATAAAATACATAGGATTTTTTTTTCAGTTCACAGATCCCAGGTTAAGAACTGCTGCTCTAAAGACTGATTTTAAGTTTTTCTCTCTTGAATTTGGCTGTCCAGGATCGCACCTCCATTTTAAAACTGAGATCCTGGAGTTCTGCTTCTGGGAGCCAAGATGGTGGAATAAGAAGGAAGTTGCACTCACCCTCCCTTATTGACCTCTGAAAGCCCAGAAAATATCACCCCCCTGTAAAAACCCTGGAACAGCTGGAACAGCTGAACCAGCAGAAAGATGGAGTGCAGCAGTCTTATAGCCCAGGAAGCTTGGGGGATTAATGGGAAAGGCCTCTCTCACTCTGGGGGAGGGGAAGCAGTACAAACGGGAGGTGTCCCAGCAAGCTAGTGGAAAGCTCCACCTCAGCATACCAGGGAGAGATCCTGAATTCCAGGGTGGTGGAGCAGGCAAGCACCAACAGCAGGACCCCCAAATGCCTCAGTATGGGGAGAGGAACCAGCAGAAATCAACTCAGAAAACCACCACATGCCATGGTATTTCACAACAGCCAAGTCTCCCAGTGCCTCAGCAAAACTCAGGGAAGCAAAACTCCAAGAGGGAAGTTCCAGGCTGAGAGACATCCTGCAGCAGTGAAACAACCCCGTGCAAGTCCCAGGTGAGCAGGAGCCAAAGAAAGGAGTGCAAGGCTTAGGTAAGCAGGAGCCAAAGAAAGGAGCAGAAGGTGAGCAGGTGTCCTCCAGGGGCCAGATTCCCCACCCCTATCCCTAGATCTCCAGTGGTGCTGATTCCAGCCCAATACCAGGTAAGCTGTCAGAACCCTACAGCCTCTAACTGCCAGTACCTGAGGCCCCAACACACAAAGCCAGTGACCAGGCCCTGGGCCTCCAGCATAAGAAGCTTGGGTCAGTGTCCCCCACTCTCCAGCAGGAGAGCTCATTTTTTTTTTTTAAAGTCAGGAAATAAGCAAACACCATGAGCAAAAAGAAACATACAGTGACCATAGATTCTTATTATGATGACAGGGAAGATCAAGGCAGAAATTCAGGAGAGGACAACACTATCAATATACCCACATCCAAAAACTCAAAAGGGAATATGAGCTGGTCTCAAGCCCAAAAAGCCTTCCTGGAAGAGCTCAAGAAGGATTTTAAAAGTCAAATAAAAGAAGTAGAAGAAAAACTGGGAAAAGAAATAAGAGGTATGTAAGAGAAAAGGCTTGGAAAAGGAAGGCCAAAAATTAACTGTTGAAAACAAGCCCTTAAAAAATACAATTGGTCAAATGAAAAAAAAAAAAGTACAATGAAGAAAACAACTCCTTAAAAAGCAGAATTGACCAAATGAAAAAGAAGGCACAAAAACTCACAGAGGAGAACTCCTTAAAAAGAAAAATGGGCCAAATGGAAAAAAGGTAAAAAATCTAATAGAAGAAAACAATTCATTAAAAATTAGAATTGGGCAAGTGGAAGCTAATGACTCTATGAGAGAACAAGAATCAGTCAAACAGAAATAAAAGAATGAAAAAAGATGAAAATGTAAAATACCTCATTGGTAAAACAACTGACCTGGAAAATAGATTCAGGAGAGACAATTTAAAAATTACTGGTCTACCTGATAACCATGATGAAAAAAAGATCCTAGACAGCATCTTTCAAGAAATTATCAAGGAAAACTGCCCTGAGGTCCTAGAATCAGAGGGTAAAAATTCAAAAGAATCCACTGATCACTTCCTGAAAGAGATCCCAAGTTGAAAACACCAAGGAATATAGTAGCCAAAACCCAAAATTCCAAAGAGAAAATACTGCAAGGAGCCAAAAAGAAACAATTTAAACATCATGGAACCACAGTCAGGATTAAGCAGGACCTTGCAGCTTCTACATTAAAAGATCAAGATTGTAGGGCATGGAATACAATATTCCATAAAGCAAAGGAGCTTGGATTACAACCAAGGATCAACTACCCAGTAAAAGTGAGCATAATCTTTCAGGGAAGGAGTCGGACATTCAACGAAATAGGGGACTTCCAAACCTTCCTGATGAACAGACCAGAACTCAACAGAAAATTTGATCTTTAAATATAAGACTCAGGAGAGACATAAAAAGGTAAAACAGGACAGAAAAAAAACAACAACATGTTATTAATAAGGGCAAACTATTTCCATCCCTACAAGGGAAGATGACACTTGAGAACTGTATTGTTACTACATCACTTAAAAGGGGGATACATAGACAAAGGGGATGGGAAGAAGTTGACTTTGATTTAATGATAAAATAGTCTAAGTGGGTTAAATGGATCTAAGTAAGTGGATTAATCTGATCTAATTAAGGGATTATACTGGGAGAAAAGGAAAGGAGGAGTCAGACAAGGATAAATTACATTAAAGGAAAAGGCACAAAAACCTATTACAGTAGAGGGAAAGAAGGGAGGGAGATGAGCATTGTTAGAACATT